ATGGATGGATGGATGGATTGTGAAAAGCGTTGTACGAGCCCCAATAAAATGATTAAAAAATAAATAAATTCTGTCAAAATTACAGAAAGTTGTGTTCCACTATATCAGTAACATAACAACTTTTTCCTTATTTATCAGATTTGATTAACAGTAATTCCGGTCTCCAAACCAATCACTGTATTTTTCACAAATAACAAGCACGAGTACATATGGAATTTAGCAAGTCAAAATCACAAATAGATACACTATTTGCATAAAAATGTTAACGCCCCCCCCCCCACAGACCTATATCTGAAATATTCATTTTGGCACTTTTAATTCCATTCAGTTAAATACAGGTGAGGAAACACTCTGATACCAGTGAATAATTAAGTCATTTATTTTAAGGGGCCCTGGTGGCCCAGAGGTTAAAAATCTGAAGTTGGAACCCCTAGGCTGCTCAGGTGGAGAAAGATGTGGCAGCCTGTTCCTGTAAAAACTGATTTACAGCCTCAGAAACCCTACAAGATGGTGCCACTCTGTCCTATAGGGTGGTTATGAGTTGGGATTCCCTGTGGCAGTGGATTTGCTTTAGAATCTTATCTTAAATTCAGTGCCAAATACACATTTTGTTAGGATGATGTTTTATTTATTTATTCAAAATCTTGTTTTCTCTCTAGTAGTAAAGTTTGGTGGGAATTCTGTGCAATAAGGCAAAGTACCAGATGTTGTTCACTCTCAAGGAAGAAAGCTCTTTCGAAGGAAAAGGTTAAAAGCACACCATCGAATACAACACAGAGAAATGTGTGTTTCTTGCCCCATTCCCCACCTTCTCAACAACTAACTACATACTCCCCTCTACCTCAACGCGCACCAAGCCTGGTAGGTGATCACAAAGAGCGACGCTGGTTGGTTGGTTTCAGCTCCGCCTCCTTTCTTAGGGGCGGTGCTAAAGAGCAAAATGACCGAAAGACAGGCCGGAAGAAGGAAAGAGAAAAGCATGGAGTCTGGATAATCAGCCCTGAAATATATGAGAGTTGTATCCAAATTTGACCAAGTTAGGAAGAGGAGAGACGGTAAACACCTCTAACTTCCACGAGCCCAAGCGGCTCAGAGTGCGAAGAAACCTGGCGCACCTCCTCAGATTCGGATTTTCTGCTCTCGCCAAGTACGCAGAGGTACAAAGCTCGTCCCGACCCGCGACGTGGAGAAAATTTAACCCAGATTTGCCAGCAGCTGTAACCCGCAGAAACAACGCCCACCCGCCGCGGACAGGCTGCCCGGGCCCTCCCCGCCGCCCAAGGGCCCCCAAACGACTGATCCGCTCCTCAGGTCGGGCGGCGCCCGCTGGGAACCCCTCAAGAAAACCGAGAGAAGGGCTGCGGTGAAACCAAGCCTCGACGGGGAGGACCCACCCGCCCGCACGCACGCCGAGGCCCTCAGCGCTGTCCGGCATGGGGTCGCGACCCAACACCGCCCACTCTGGAGCGAGGCCTCGCGCCCCGCGCAGCTCGTCTCCAGCCCCGACCCCGGTCCACTCGCGCCCGCCGGGACCCGCGCGCCACACACCGCCGCCGCAGCGACCACTGCCGTGCGGACGCAGCCGCTAACTACCTGTCTTCGCTCTTGTTTTTCTGTTTCTTCCCCATCGCGTGTCAGCGGTACTCGTGGCCCCAGCCTCTTTACCCAATCTGTCGCGGACCCTCTGTCCCCCGGTCGACTTTGGTTCCCGCTGGGCTTCGTCCTCGCTGCGCTGCCTCCTCTCGCACCCGGCTCTCCACAGACCCGCGCACTGGGACAGGGCACATATGGAGTGAGTTCTCAGTGCGCAAGCGCATAGCCCCGCCGCCTCGGCGTGGGGACGCAGGGCGCGGCTCATCGAGAGCTACGCTTTGGGTAGAGCGTCTCCTCTAGACCCGCTGGCCAGGCGGGAGCTCGCGCGCCCCCTGCCCGCAGCGTAGTCAGCGCTCCTAAACCCTTGCCACCGCCGAGTTCTAGAATCAAGAGGTGGACAATTGTCTGTCCCCACGTCAGCTCTTTTCCTACTAGGGAACACAAATTTGAGAGATTGCAATTGGGTCACAAGAAGGCGTTTGCTTCCACCTTTAACCTCTATATCTTTGTATTTTCAGTGGCACGAAATTCAGTAAAGAACCATAATGAACTAATGAGTGTTCCCGAAGGAGATAAATCTAGGACAAACTTGGAGTCTTTCAATAACATCATACAGCGGTTCTCATCCTGTGGGTCGCGACCCCTTGGGGGTTATCGAACGACCTTTTCACAGGGGTCGCCCGATTCATGACAGCAAAAGTACAGTTATGAAGTAGCAACAAAAATAATTTTATTGTTGGGGGTCACCACAACTTGAACTGTATGAAAGGGTCGCAGCATTCGGAAGGTTGAGAACTGTGTAAGTACAGTCACTAAGAAAACATTTAACAAGAACAAACGACTCCATGTTATTCTGACTCGGCTACTACTAGTATTTCCGAGTAAAAGGGGTCGTATAGGGCTTTCAAAGTGACAAAGTCAGCAAGTTCGAAATCGCCAACCGCTCTGGAAGAAAAATGAGGCTTTCTATTCCAGAGTAGCTACTCTAAGAAACCCGCAGGGGCTGTTCTGTGTCCTATACTGTCGTTATAAAGTCGCTATGATTCATAATCGACTCAAAGGCAGTGAATTTGAGTGAGCTTGACCTTGCAGAAGCCGATTATTAGGTTAGAACTGTCCTCCCAGGTGCCTCAGGATGGGATCGAACAACCAACCTTTCTGTTAGGGACGAGCTTAACTGTTTGCACCACTCGGGGATTCCTATAACAAGTACATGTCCACCAATTTCTCCAAAATCCGTTTTAATCTTTACATTTAAACTAAGAGTAAGCTTCCAAAATTTTGTGTATTACTGAAGTCACCAGGAACCAACTGGGCTAATGAAAATGTTCTATTCCCCCCCTACAGTTTTATTGGTATATAATTCACATCATACAATTCAATGGTTCAATCACATCAAGAACTGTTGTACAATCCTCGCCACAATCAACTTTAAAATATTTTCTTCATTCTTGTACTCATTGTTATTAACTCCCCATTTTTCCCCCAACACCCTAACACCCCCCCACCCCACCATAACCCCAAGGAACCATTAAATAATCCAGTTACTGTCTCTCTAAATTTACCCATCCTGGATTTCATATACATAAAATCAATTTTTTTAAAAAACCTAACAACAACAACAAAGTAAAATAGAGAAAAGCATCAATTGAAAAACAGAAAACATTTTAAAACCAGTACAACTTTAAATGGATCATAATGGAGATCAAACGATAGGGCGTTAAATTTTAACCTAATGCCACCTGCAACAATCCACTTTCCAATACATTCTGCATGATAGCAAGGCTATTCCCATCCCTGATCCATGGGAAATTTGTTCCATATCTTAATCTACAGAGTGGGCTGTATTACAGCTTTTACCTAGGTAAAAATTATCGTGCTGTATATTTACATCTCTTTTTTAATGTTCAATACGCAGAAGATTAAGTCTCGCTTGAGGAAGATCGCTGCTATCTCATTTCTGAAGACGCATCATTACTGAGGGACGACACACGCAATACTAAAAAAAACTACAACTTCCAGCGTACTTCGCTTCCGCTTTTAGTCAGGCCAGTCACAGGAAACGGAAGCGAAGGCTAAGAAACCTGGGGTTCCGCCCGGTGGGAGGCAAGCGCATGCGCAGTCGCAGGTATCCGTCCCGCCTCCTCTTCGGTTCTCTCAGATTGTATCGCGTGAGGACCCGAGCCAATGAGGAGGCAGAAACGACGGCTGGGCTACAGCATCCCGCGGCTCCTAAGCGTTCCGGGCCGTTTTCCTGAATCTACTGCTTCCTTACCTCTCTAATATCGCCGAGAGCTCAGGTGAGACGAAGCGTGGTGTGGGAAGACGGGCCCCCTCCTACCCTTGCTGATGGACCTTCCGCCGTCCCACACCCTGCTGGTGCGGGGGAGGGGCGCGGCCCGGATGCGAGTGTCGGCCGCGGCGGAGGCTGCGGCGCGTGCGCCCCTGGAGGCGTTGAAGTCTGGGCCCCCGGACCTCTGCCCTCATTTACTCCTGCATTCCTGCCGGCTTCGGGAGAAGTGACCCTACTGGAGGGAAGCTATCAGGTGCAATTAACTGTGAGGCCCCTTGATAGTTCTGGCAGGGACCCTTAGGGAAACCAAGGAAAATGGTAGGTAATATAAGGATACATTGTGCCCCTTCTCACCTTTCTAGTTGAGCTGGAAAAAGAGGAATGGTGGAAGCGTATGATTTGAAGAATTAGAAGAATGAAAAGTTATTAAAGTAGGGCCGCCAATCATCTCTCTGACCTTTTTTCCCTTTCTAAATGCTGTAAACACCACCACCTGCCCCCAGAAAAGCCCTTGCCCCTGTTCCCATGTATTCTTAAGATTAAAAACCTGGGCTCATACTATAAAACACCAAGGGTAAGTGCCACTACTCCCCGAGCAAGAATACGTTCTGATGACATGCAAGTCTTTGTCAATTTTCTGCCTCATGTGACCCCTCCCCAAACCAAAAACCCAAACTCACTGCGGAGTCGATGCTGGCTCATAGCAACCCTATTGGACAGAGTAGAATTGTCCCTGTGAGTCTCGGAGACCGTAACTCATGACCGGAGTAGAAAGCCTTGTTTTTCCGCTGCTGGTTTCAAACTGCTGGCTTTGATGTTAGTCCAATTAATGGACTTTTTTTGGGAGGAGAGGAAGTGAGAAACACTTTATTTGAAATAATCTCCTTTTCAACTTTCACACCGTTGAGAAGCTTACAACTTGGTTTAAACTCAGAAATAATGATCTTTTGAAAGTTAAAGTAATTTGAGCAGAAGCACAGCACTTACTCATTCAGCATTAAGTAAATATTGAACACCTGCTGTGTCCCAGGCACTGTGCTAGCTCAAGTACAAAGATGAAAGCAGATATTTTCAACCACTTTTCTGGTAAAGGAAAAGGAATTTTGTGTGAAGAGATTTTCTCTTCCATTCATCAAACATTTACAGAGGAAGTCATTCTGGGCACTCTTAGAAGCTGGGTGAAAAGTTCAGATTTTTTAAGGTGTTTCAGTGCTGTATGCAAATATAATTTATCAAGAGGCACAGATTCTAGCTTTGATAGGCAAATGGTAAATCTTAATGGTATTTAACCTGTAGATTCAGCTAGACAACACAGAAAATTAGTTATTGCTAGTAGAAAATATTTCCCTTAAAGCACATATTAAGATACATCAACCATTTCTAATCTGAATGAATCCTATATTAAATACGTAGTTTGACAAGACACATTTTAAAGTAGTACTTATACCATGAGGTGTTGAGGTGATATGTATCTTTTGTGTGTAATCAAGTTAGGACCACTGATTGACACTGATATCAGTATGGAGCCTTGTGGCCTTGTCTATTTGAGTAGCACAAACAGCTAAGCATTTGATTATTGGACAAAAGGTTGGTGGTTCAAACCCACCCAGAGCTGTGTGAGAAAACAGACTTAGCAGTCAGCTTCTGAAAGGTGATTTCAGGTGCTGGCGAGTTGGTTCCAACTCCTAGTGACCCTGCTCACTACAGAACGAAACTTTAGCCAGCCCTGCATTGTCCTGAAGGTAACAGCCTGGAAAATCCTTTGGAGCACTTTTACTCTGCACACGTGGGGTTGTTGTGAGTCAGCAGCTGATAACAGATATTTTATTAGGGAAAACAGGAATGCAAACTACCACTTATGAAACACCAGACACTGTTCTCGCTATACACTGTTATGCGATCTCTCACTACCTAAAGAAACTAATCTTACTTGAGCAGTTACCATGAAAAACCTGCCTTCTGTTCAACCCCCGCTCAATGTAGAAGCAAAGCTTAGTACATATTTTTTGTGTAAAACCTCAGTATAGCTATGCCTTACTGTTTGCTTTCACAGCTGTTTCTGCTTTACCGCCTTTTTAGTAAAGAACACTTTTTTGTCAGTACTAAGTATAATTTTCAACAGGTCATTTCTCGCTGGTCTGGTGTTGGGCTTGAACACTGCTTTAGTGTGGTAGAACAGATTGGAGCGGAAGCATCCCAATTTTGCACTCTTTAGCTTTTGAGTGGGGTTATTTTCAATAACCTATTGAAAATTAAATTTTGAAACATTTGAATTAAAATTATGAAACATGAAGGGTTTGAGTACTAATGGAATACCATCTCACATCTCACCTCACCTCCACTGAGTCACTCCAACTAAAAGCAACCCTATAGGACAGAGTACAACTACCCTGTGGGTTTCAGAGACTGTTACTAGAGCAGAAGGCTTGATCTTCTGCAGAGCAGCTGAGATAATTTCAGACTGCTGATCCCGCAGTTAGCACCCCAACATGTAACCCACTACACCCCCAGGACCCCCCTATCTGGCTTAAAAAGTATATATTTGATGAGATTTTTGAGAATGGGACAGCAGGTTTGGTTTTTTGTTTATTATAAATTTGGGCCTGACTGTAAATTTGCTCCCCAGCAACCAGGCTGAACCGTACCCTTTAGAAGAATGGAAGCTAACGCATCCGCTGACATGTTTTCAAAAGTCCTGGAGAATCAGCTGCTTCAGACTACCAAATTAGTGGAAGAACGTCTCGACTCTGAAATTCAGAAATTGGAGCAGATGGACGAGGATGAATTGGAACGCCTCAAAGAAAAGAGACTTGACGCACTAAGGAAAGCCCAACAGCAGAAACAAGTAACCTCCCTGCCCTGCTTTCTGAGATTGCTATAACAGTACGCACCTAACAACTTACATATGCGTGTGCTGTTTCATTTTCAGCCCTCAATTTGTAGTGTATTTTGAACTGAAAGTACCAATTATTGTAAAAAATTTGTTCCGGCTTAAAAAGGGCAGGGGGAGGGGGTGGCATTCATAAATCAATTAACCCAAAACCAAGCCTATTGCCTAATGACATCCCTAAAGACTCATTGATATCCTATAGGGTGGAATAGAGCCTGCCCCATAGGATCCCAAGGCCTTACAGAAACAAGCTGCCACATCTTTCTCTTTTAGAGAGGCTGGTGGGTTTAAACTACCAACCTTTCAATCAGCAGTTAAACACTTAACCACTAAATTAGCATAAGGAGCACCACCAGGCCTTAGGTTAATCCAACCCAGATCCTTTCCAGAGCTCAAATTTTTTTTTAATTAAGGGGAGAATGGGACTAGGAAGAGTAGTGGGAATACTAGGCGTCAGTATTTCCCATTCATGTAGTATTAACCAGAGCTCCAAATGCACTGCCATCTAGTTGGTGCTGACTCATGGCAACACTATAGTACAGGGTAGAACTGCTCCCGTGGGTTTCCGAGACTAATTCTTTACAGGAGTGGAAACCTTCATCTTTCTTCCACAGGTAGTATTAAAGTTATCATAATTTAGCAATCCTTGAAGCTTTTCTCAAAATAAGAGGATGTAGGATCATTTGTGCTAAAGAAATTATTCCAAGTACTTTCAATGTAACGCTTAATTGTATGGCTTCTTTATCCAAAAAATTGCATGATGGTCATAAAGAGGCTTCAGCACTCTCCTTGCTGGTCTCTTCGAGTGTGTGAAATAAACTTATAGTTTTGGACTGTGATCTCAACCAAACCCACTGCTGTGAAGTCAATTCCAGAAACTTGTTGGGTCAATTTCAGTAAATTTGATTTTTATGAACAGCTTCCATTAGTTTGTTATTGAAATCCCTTATCACCATCTTCAGTTGGCTGGAACTGAAACATAAACTATAGCTTTTCTGAAGAAACATCAGCAAGGAGTTTTGTTTGTGTTCCTATAGCATCTCTGAAAATGTCTATTCTCAGTATTAAGAATAATTACAAAAATGAAATAATCGTTTTATGACTGAGTTCAAGTTTTTATATTTTGAGTTTTCTAAACTAGGATGCAGTATATGGTTTTGAAACCTTCTCCATTCTCTTCCTATAGAATTAATAATTAGCAAGCAGAGGACCAAAAATTTTTAAAAGCTCACTGCCCCTGAGTTTCTGAGACTATAACTCTTTATGGGAGTAAAAAGCCTCATCTTTCTCCCCCAGAGCCATTTGTGGTTTTGAACTGCTGGTTCTGTGGCTAACAGCCCAATATGTAACCACTACACTACGGGGTTCCTCTAAGCAGAGGACAGATTATTGGAATTTAAAGTAATGTATGGTTAGACTAGTGCTACTTAGGTTTCTGGAAAAATGTAATCTGTCTGATGTGCAGTGAGGAACATACATTAAATCATGTCTCAATGAAGTCAGTAATTAAAAGCAATAATAAGTATATTTGTAGTTGAAAACCAATGGAGAGAATACTGAAGACTTTTTAAAGTAATAATATGTAGTATATAAATTGATTTAAGATGAATTTGTCATGGAGTATACTCAAGGGTCTTATTTTAGAGCTTTTATTGCATTTTGTATTTTTTTGTTTTTTGAAGAGATAGACAAGAAACTAGTAGTTTGTAAAGATGTATTTTTGAAAGAGTGGTATAGATCGTGGAATAATTTGTTTTTTCACAGTGGCAGCTTGTCTTTTTTTTTAATCGTTTTATTTTGGGCTCATACAACTCATCACTATCCATACATACATCAATTGTGTAAAGCACATTTGTACATTCATTGCCCTCATCATTTTCAAAACATTTGCTCTCCACTTAAGCCCCTGGCATCAGGCCCTCTTTTTTTCCCCTCCCTCCCCACTCCCCCCTCCCTCGTGAGCCCTTGATAATTTATCAATTATTTTGTCATATCTTGAGTGGCAGCTTGTCTTGTCCCATAGTGTGGAACCTAACTCCTGATGCCCCAGGTATTACAGAGTAGAACTCCTCCATTGGCTACTCTGGGCTGGAGTCTGCACAGGAGCAGATTGCCAGGCCTTTGCTATTGCAGTGCTGCTGGATGGGTTTGGACCATCAACCTTTTGGTTAACAGCTGAGTGAAAATCGACATAAACTCAGAAACTTACTGTCAGTGAGGCCATTCCTACTCTGCCCTACAGGATGCAGTAGAACTGCCCCTGTGGGTTCCTAGACTGTAAATCTAATTCACAGAGTAGAAAGCCCCCTCTCCTGCAGAGCAGCTGGTAGTTTCAAACTACTGGCCTTGTGGGTAGCAGCCGAGTACCTATGCCACCTACCAGATATTGAAAACCAATATTACTCGATACTTAATAGGCCTGCACTGATTTGTGTTCCTTTGGCAGCCAAACACCCGCCAATTGTTATGGCAGCGGGAGATGTAGCGCTTACATAGGAACAGCCAGGGTGAGGTGAGAAATAAAGAGCTCCACAGAGGCTTGGGTAAGAGCCTCTTAAGTAAGAGCAACGTGCTACCCAGCAGTCACTGCCTAGGGTAGGAATTGGCTGAACTGATCTCTATTTATCCTGGTTTAAGTCCATTTAGCAGACACTTTTGGAGCAAATACTCCATGCACAGAGCTGGGTACAGAGATGAGTCTTGAGAGATGCCATCAGAGTGGGCTTGCCCCTGGAAAACTTGGACAATTTAGATCGATTCAGCCTGTTGAGTAAACACATGAGAATAAAAAACTGAAAGGAAATAATAGCTTTTTAAGAAGACAAGAACCTTGTTTTGAAAGAGCACATGTCTAGAGAGTCAAAAGGAGTCTGAAATGCTATTTAAGAGTTAAATAACTGAAATATGTGAGGAGAAAATACCAGGACCTCTTCTGAGTGTCAGCTCAATGTAAACCAATGTGAAGTGGCTCACAGGTGATACAGCCCAGGTCTTGATAGCTGAAATCCAGACAATGGGAGGAGATAACTGTTCTGTGGGGTTTCCAAAGCTGTAAATCAAAACCTCCTGCTGTGGCTTTGAACTTTTAAAAGCTTTTAGTTAGCAGCCCAAAGTATAACCAGTATGCCACCAGGGTTCTTTCCAGCCTCCACAGCTCAGTAAGTTCTGGATTCCATGAACATTTTAAATTCTGTTCTGTGCTTCTCCTTTTTCAATGAGGATCTTTCTATAGAATCTTTCATCAGAATGATGAGTAGTGGTAGCTAGGCGCCATCCAGTTCTTCTGGTCTCATGACAAAGATAAGTATTATTTTTAAATCATCATAATAACTTGGATCCAGTACTTCTGGTTTGAGTATTTATTTTAAGAGTGCAAAGAGGTTAAGTGGTTACTTACTAAGTCCAAGCCATGTGGTGGAACCAGTCACTAGCTGTATCTATGGTTTTGTGCCATCATTAGACACAAGACAGTAGACAACTGAAGTGGAATTATGCCTCTTAGGGTACATCAACGTCATGACAAAGTAGACGTTAATTTGGTCAGCTAAGATGTCACTTAAGTGGTGCTGACAGACTTATTTCAAATGTGTAATGAGCGAAATAAGACTTTTCAAGTGTGTCTCTTATCTCCAAATTAGGAATGGATTTCTAAAGGACATGGGGAATACAGAGAAATCCCTAGTGAGAGAGATTTTTTTCAAGAAGTCAAAGAGAGTAAAAAAGTGGTTTGTCATTTCTACAGAGACACAACGTTCAGGTAATTTCATTCTCATTAGAATTTATTTTAATTTTGTGGTTTTTTAACATGATGAAATATTTTGCTAAAGATATACTGACTTATTAAGAAATTAAGAAATAAGTGGTAAGCTTCATTGCTAGAAATCAGCACATTAAAATTAAACAATTTTAATTTTTAAATATTAATGTATACTAATGATATACAAGGATCCCTGGTGGCGCAGTGGGTTATGCATTGGGCTGCTAACCACAAGGCCAGCAGTTTGAACCCCACGGTCACTGCACAGGAGAGCGATGGGGCTTTCTACCCCATCAAGTGGTGTACTTTTAGAAGCCCCTATAGGGCAGTTCTACTCTGTCCTAAAGAGTCCCTGGGAGTTGGAATCAATTTAAAGGCAGTGAGTTTGGTATTTAATTTGGAGAGAGACATACAAAGGAACAAGCCAATACTATTGGAAATCAAGAATATTCAAATATAGATCGTTTGATATTTTCTGAATTACATTTTAACTGTTGAAATTGTTAGTTGCCATGGACTCACTTCCGACTCCTGGCGATCCTCCATGTGCAGGGGAGTACCGCTCCACAGGACTTGTAAGGCTGCGTGACCTGTCAAGCAGGTCTCCAGCACTGTCTTACAAGACGGCCAACTCTGGGTCAGTTGTAGCCACCAACCTTTTGACTGGTAGTCAAGCACATAACCATTTACTTGCCCTACTAATATATCCTACTCTGATTTCACCAGCTAACTTTAACGCTTTCCAAATGTGTGCTTAGATTTTTGTCAGTACAAAACTAGTCCTTCCTGTTTTGTTTTTGTTAACTAGTGTGATCTAGCCAAGGTGTTGAGGCCAACAACCTTTCAAAGTGGTGTGTCAGTCAGTCCTCATCCAACAGTTCTGATGGGGAGACAGTGATGAAGCCTTTTACCAGAAGCATTGGGAATGTCAGGCATAAGAGAAGGAGAACATGATTTCTCTTAGAGCAACCCAAGGAGACAGATCCCTTGTAAAATGAAAATACCCCCTCAGAAGACTCAAGCCTTTCCTCTTTTTGTTTGTTTGGGGTTTTTTGCCCATGTATATCACCAGTTGATTAGTTAGGAGCATTTATCACCAGTTGATTAGTTAGGAGCATTTAAAACTGTGGAACTAGCTAAGTTTTTAAAAATCAAGCTTGCTAGACAGAAAAAGAAAATTGTCAGTAGCAGACCTGGTGCTGACTAGCAGCTTTCCCTTAGATAAACATATGCTCCAGTGTAGGGTCTGCCTTCGATTCCCTATGCTCACACACTGCCCTCTTCTATCATGTAGACAGCCTGCCTAGCCCTTGTCTAGCCTCACTACCCAACAACGTGGTTATTAGTTACCACCCTTTGGAGAGTGATTGACTATGAGAATAGAAATAAAGAAAATAGGAAGATAGGGGGGGAAGGATTAGGGATATAAAAGGTATCAAATTCTGCCCTTGGGGTGGATTAGATCATCTCAAATTGACACAAATTCCTTAAGGTGGCAGCCTCTGACATGTATGATATGTGATATATCAAATATGTATAGTTGATATTGTTTACTTATTTATCATATGTCTTCGCCACTAGATTGTTAGTGTTTTGAAGGCAAAGAATGTTGTGGCCTACTATGCCCTGGGTGCGTAGACTAGAGCAATACCTGACACATTGTAGCTACTCAGGAAATATATTTGATGGATGGATAAGCTATTTCATATGAAGGAAAATCATATTTAAATGATTCACTTATATGTTTGTGTATATACATAGTAAACAGAATGACTTCATGTATATACACTCTGGAACATTAATAAAAACCCACTGATTTGGGTGTCGTAATCCCTACGTTTTATGTGAGGAAACTATGGCTTAGGGATAAAGCATCTAAGCATTCTGTATCTCTGAACTTTAAAAAAAAAAAAAATGAAATTTTAATTTCAATTTTACAATTCATACTATTTTAAATTTATCATGACTGCTGCTTGTGGAATTCTAATGGATTAATTCACTGACAAATGGTATAATCATAGGCATTTAAAACAAGTCCCTTACTCCAGATAGACTATGGACTTGAATTTTGTTCAAATATTCAGGAGCATACTTCTTATAAAAATTAATCATTTTCATGAGCTTCATTCAAATGCTTTAGTCTTCATCCTTTTCACAAATACCTAAATCCCGTTACTGAACTACGAGGATAATATCTGAAAAAAAATGCATCCTAGGTTAGTTAATGAGGCACCAAGGTTACACGAGACATTTACCCACGACCTAGTTCAGGAAGAACTACACGTAATACCCACAGAAAGGGAGCGTGTGCTTTCTCGGTCATTTTAAGTGGTAGTTTTCAAACATTGGACATAAGGTCAACTCAGTGTTTTCTGACTTCTCTCCCAAAATATCCTGAAATTATTTTAAAGTTGACTGTAATGCACAAAAGGTTAAATACCACTGGTGCCAAAGATTATTTCAACAGTGTTTCCCAACAAAACTAAAGGATGGAGCAGTCTGAAACAACTATATTTTAGTTAAAAATGCCACTTCCGTTTTTTTTAGTAGATGATGAATTAGTGAAAATTGCTATTGACATTTTTCATTTCTTTAGAATCTTAATGGCACATTTACTGAAAGATTAACCTTAATGCACTTTTGACTGGCAAGTGCACAATTAATGGTAAAAAATTTTCTCCTCAGTAGCTAGCACCATTCAGTCTTTCCATATAGACCTTCAAATACAGTATCTGGTGTACTTTTCTTATTCTTAAAATTGCCTTCTGGCTTCTACCAAGTTCAGATTTATCTCACTAGAAGCTTCCATTGTAAGATACCAAGAACCTCGTGCACAGAGATGTGACGATCTTCTTTAAATTTTTGTTCTTATCACCAAGATGACATCTTCATGAACCTCTTTATGACCAAGGGACATATTTAGTATTTTGTTCTTTATAAAATCATTAGCGCAGATATGACTTTCTAGACTGCTGGGAGTGCTTTGCTACCTCATAACTGAGCGGCTAGTCTCTTCACCAGAGTACTATACACTACCGTCTAGGAAAGCCTCTGGGGCAATGCTACTCTGTCCTGTGCGGTTGCTGTGTGTTGAAATCAACAGCACACAACAGCCTGTGTGTGGAAATGAGGTTGTCTGACGCAAGCACAGGTCAACTATCTAGTAGTAAGACTCACACAGAAACTACAAAATTAGAGTTTCCCTGAATAGAAACAGTTCAGTAGACTAAGGGCCCACATGAACATCAGTCTTCCCGACCCTGAGACCCGAAAAGCCAGATAGTACTTGGCTACCACAATCCGCTCCTCTAAAAAATCATATAGAGTGGGAGAAAAATGTAGAACGAGACTCAGAATCATAGGAGACCAGGCTTATTGATTGGTTTCAGAGACTGGTAGAACGCCCAAGACTGATTCTTAGTCCCCCCTTCAGGCTTGGAAATGAATTCCTCCTGCTGCCTCAGTTGTCAGCCAAGCAACAGCTAGGTCTGTCGGGGGAACTGTCACCCAGGGAGGTCCTCATTCCTTAGAATGGCTAACCATTTGAGATCAAAAGGGCAGCATCTACCTCCAAGGGTGGTCTTGAGAAGGCTTAGGAAAGCAGGAAAACTGGAAACTCTGGGAGGAAGTGGGTAAAAGTGAAGCTACATCGAGGGAATTGCCTCGAATGAGATGAAACAACTTGTACGAACTGTTGATCATAAAACTGATCTGTCCGTAAGTCTGCATCCAATTCACAGTGCAAAGTTTAAGAAGAAGAAAAAAGATGAGATGTCCCTTTAATTGGGCTGGAAGGAGAGGTAGATCTGTTGCTTGAGCTTTTTTGTTTGTTTCTCTTTTGTACTTGCAGATGTAAAATTATAGACAGGCATTTGGCGATACTGTCCAAAAAACATCTGGAAACCAAGTTTTTGAAGCTGAATGTGGAAAAAGCCCCTTTCCTTTGTGAGAGATTACGTATCAAAGTCATTCCCACACTAGCACTGGTAAAAGATGGGAAAACACAAGATTACGTTGTTGGATTCACTGACCTCGGGAATACGGATGACTTCAGCACAGAAACTTTAGAATGGAGGCTTGGCTGTTCTGATATCCTTAATTACAGGTAACAACTAGGAAAAATTGATTCACTTTAAGTCATGACTTCATATCTTTGTTGATGTTTTTAGAGAGGATTTTGTGTCATTGATTTCCTAAATTAAAATCTTTGGGCTAGGCTGTGGAAGAAATTTCACAAAGGAAACGCTTTCTAAAGCTTACGTTCCTAGCGACACTTCGTGGAAGGAAGCAAATCCATTTTATAGATAAAACAGGGTTGGAGTGCACCTGCCTAAAAATGTTTGAGTCAACAGATGTTTTTGAAACTCATTCTCTGTTACTCTATAAATCCGAAGTGATGCTCCAGAATTGAATCTCCCCTGATGCCAGATTATGCAGAAGTTTCAATCTCCGTGATTTGCTTCGGTGAACCAGAACTTAAAAGCACACCACGACAAAGAGGGTTGTGCTTTATAAAACATTCTCTCTCCCTCTCTTTTTAAATCATTTTATTGGGGGCTCTTACAGCTCATATAATAATCCATACGTCAATTGTATCCATCACATTTGTGCATAAGTTGCCAAAACATTCTCTTTTTCAGTGCAGGTATTCTTATCTAAATCATAGTCTGATGCAATGTTTTGGAAAAGGGTTTCTGTGCTTAATTACTTACTAAGGGGAACAGTTTCAGTTTGAAAACAAATCTAAAATCCAAGTTCCTTGCCTACTCACTTCTCTAGACAATGATTTATCTACGGTTTTACAGAACCGAGCATATCATTTCATGCCTCGTTGTGCCTCTTCTTGACGTGGGAGGATAGCAGGTAAAATGGTGTAGTCACTCCTCCTAAGCAGAGTGCCTTTCTGTAGAGTTCTCTTTCCCCGTCGTCTCTCCTCAGGCTCACCCCCTTGCTCTCTGCATTCCTGCTAGACATACCAAAACCATTCCATAGTTGTAGAAGTTGGCTTAAAGGTGTTAAGCTTTGTTTCTTAATATTCATATAAAATATTAACAGTTAATAAAAGTTTGAAGTTAATTAAAAAACGTGTAAACCTAGTTCGAGGAATTCCTCTTATAGCCCTCAGCCATATTCCCTGGTTTAGGACTTTTTATACTTTTGTTTTGCCGTTCTCTTTCACAGTTCCACTTGAGTGGCAATTATTACGTATGTGGTGTCCTTTTATTCCTAAATGCTTCCAAGTACTTCTAATAACAATAAGATTTTGTTACATAGCCACAGTACAGTTATTAATTACACAAGAAGTTACCATCGATCCTATATTATAAACTAATCTATAGACTTTGTTCAAAATGTGTCAGTGGTACCAGTATTCTCCACACCAAAGAAATCAACATTTTAATTATTTGTGTGTTGACGTGGAACAGTTCTCCACCCTTCCTTTGCTTTTCAAGACTCTGTAACATATTGAAACAGTACCAACTAGTTCAGGTTTGACCCAGAAACCATCACCACCACCACCTCATTTTGTAGAATAGCTCCCAATTTGGTTGTGCCTAACATACCCTGAAGATTACATCAGATTGTCAGGAAGTTCAGTAAGGAGGATGTTTTGAAACTGTTTGTGGTAACAGTTATACAATACTGCCTGGTGTGATTGAACTATGGAACAATATGATATCTGTATTAGCCCCCAATAAAATGTTTGTTTTTCAAAAAAAGATTACATCAGATTATCCATTTTTGGCAGGTGAATTACAGAAGTGATGTAGCCTTCTCACTGTCCCATTTCTGGTAGTGATGACTGATCACTGATTTAACTAACTCTCTTCCAAATGATTGAATAAAGAATTTTTCTATGCTCCACATTTATTTATATATATATATGGAATATGGATCATTTTATTCAGTGGATTATAGTGTGTTATTGTGGTTATTTACTCTGAGATCCAAATTGTTTCACACTTGGCCAGTGAGCGCTCCCTTTAAGCTGGTCTTGGGTTTGACGTGTCCCCATGATTCTCTGAGCAATTCCTTTTTGGTGCATTCAAGTTGCTTTACAGGGCTTATGCTAACCCCTCTCTGGAATCGACTGCTTCTCCAAAGAGACGTGATTCCTTTCTGTGGTAAATGGTATTTGGAAATCAAAATCTGGGTCTGCGGAATAGATCAGTGAAAAGTAAATGATAACGAAGCTACAAGTTTTCTTGATGCCTATAGAGATCTAACATTTAGGTGTCTCAAATGAAAAAGGCAGTGTATCCAGACCAAATGAAACAAGATGCTTCCCCTCCTTCCGTGCTTTTTTTGAAAGAAATTTTTAGCCCATCCTATGCAATAACTAGCTATCGTTAGGGGGTAAAAGCTGATTTAAAACTTTTAGTGTAAAACTTGATTTATAACTAGCTATTGGGCTTGGTGGTTTGGTGGCCTACACATCAAAAGGCCAGCAGTCCAAAGCTACAGGTTGCTCCGAGGGCGAAAGATGAGGCTGTTTGCTCCTGTCGTTGTTGGGTCATTGTGAATCAGGAGAAACCCAAGGGCAGTGAGTTCGATTTTTCACCATCAGTATGAATATTATAGCTCGTCCCTAATGCCAGTGCTTTAAATGAAATTTAGGGTACAATGAGGAAGAAAAGCTTAAGTTGTCATGTTGTCTCATTTACCCAGCTGTACCAAATAATAAGGAATAAACCCTTTTCAAATGTGCCTCGTTTTTAGTGGGAACTTAATGGAGCCACCATTTCAGAGCCAAAAGAAAATTGGAACAAGCGTGACAAAGCTGGAAAAGAAAACTATCCGAGGAACGAAATATGATTCAGACTCTGATGATGATTAGAACTTCATTGTAACTCTTTGTAAATCCTCTTTTGATTTCTGCCTATTTCAGACTTAGATGTGTTTTCTAAATTAGATTGGTTTCGATATTGTTCACCTGATGCTCACACCCTAGAATTTTATACAGTTGCGTCACATTGAAATACATCTTTGATATTTTCTGTGTGGAGATTATGTTTAAGGTGAGGAAAACTCATGCATTTTTACATGATGTGGGAAGGGTCTGGAGTCTATTTTTAAGGTTGATTTTATCACAGTGTGATTTTTAGTTTTTATATCGTTCACCTCTGTATTTTTAATCTACTAAACTAGAAACACAGCCAGCAGGCTGTCCCAGGACTAAACGCTGAGCTGCATTATGTACTTTATACAAAAGGTCAGGCACCATGTACTACACTTGTAAGTTTATTTGAAGCACTCTTCACTCCTACAATATTTTTAAATAACTGTTAGAGAACTGCATATTTATTAATTCTGTGTTGATGCCGAATCAGCTGATTGCAGCAGCGACCTATTTCAGGTTGTGAACATATTGCCTTATATAAAGGATTTTGTGTTTGTACTTTAAGACACACATTAAAAACTTAAATCAGGTTTCATTTTTGGAGTGGTAATATGAGAAAGTCTGCAGACTTTCTTCTGTAAAACAACAAAATTTATAAATGTGGTTTTTTTTAAATAATCATTTTAGTAGGGGCTCATACAACTCATCACAATCCATACATACATCATTTGTGTCCAGCACATTAGTACATATGTTGACTTCATTCTCACAACACCCGCTTTTCACTTGAGCACTTGGTATCAGCTCCTCATTTTTCCCCTCCCTCCCCGCTCCCCCTGAACCCTTGATAATTTATAAATTATTATTTTATCATATATTAACCCATCCAACGTCTCCCTCACCCACTTCTCCACTGTCTGTCCCCCCTTTCTCCCTCACCTTCCCTCCACCCTCCTCCTATCACCACTCTCTCCACTGGTCCTGGGGGGTTCATCTGTCCTGGGTTCACTGTATTTCCAATTCCTATCTGTGCCAGTGTACACCCTCCGGTCCAGCTGGATATGTAAGGTAGAATTGGGATCATGGTGGGGAGGAGGGGGGGCATATAAGAACTAAAGGAAAATTGCATATTTCATCGTTGCTACACTGCACTCTGATTTGCTCCTCTCCTCCCTGCAGCCCTTCTGCAAGGGGATGTCCGGTTTCCCCTGCATGGGCCCTGGGTCCCCACTCTGCACTCCCCCTCATTCACGATGTTATGATTTTTTGTGTTTTTTTTTTTGGTCTTTGATGCCTGATACCTGACCCTTTCACCGCCTTGTCATCTTATAGGCTGGTGTGCTTCTTCCATGTGGGCTTTGTTGTTTCTCAGTTAGATAGCCCCTTGTTTATCTTCCAGCATGTGGGATCCCAGATTCTGTGTAATTTGACAGCTTGGCACCATCAGCTTTTTTCACCGCATTGGTTTTTTTAAGTGTTTTTTAAGTCATTAAATTCTTTGGAAATTGTGAGAGCATGCAGCAAACAGAAAAACATTTATTCAAGAAAATAAGATTAATCTTTCGAAGAACTTGCAGTTTGTGGCATTTGAGCGGTGATCCATGACCCCTGCCCTCCAGCTTATCGAAATGGAAACTCTGTGCCAAACAGCCAATTCCACAGGGCTTCTTGTCCCTCCACTCCCAGTCTAGGGCTACATTTTCCTTCTGGGAAGAGCAAACAGCTCGTGCTCCTCATTTTCCTCCCAGCTCAGAAGCTGCGTTACAGGCAAGAAAAATAGTCTACAGTTCCATTCCTCAACCCAGTCCACACTTGTGAGACAGGAGATTTCTCCCATGCATGGCACACTAAAGCTATTGGATCCTTCCCCGCTCACTCACAATGGAGGGTCTGTAAAGAAAGGCAAACAGAAAACAGGCCACCACCCAGCCAGCACCCTACTTTTAGACCAGAGGTGTCTGGGTGTAGGGGAAGCCGATTACTATTTTTACTATAAACTGATGGAGTATCTCACAGGTTTTGCCCCGTGTGAGAAGCAAGTTCTCAAAGCAGAGCTCAGGAGTACTCCCTGAGGGAATTAACGTTTATGGAACAATGGGCTGGGGAGG